TTTGTTGAAAAGACTATCCATCCCCCATTGAATTATCTTGGCACCTTGGGTGAAAATCAAATAGGCTACACAGTGTGCGTCTTCTGTGATCTGTTCCACCCACTCGTCTACCCAAACACGAATACCCACTGTCTTGGTAACTATTACTTTATAGTGAGGCTTCAAAGCGGGTAAAGGCCTCCCAATTCGGATTTTGCTCTGTCGAAACTGTTTTGACTACTCTAGGTCTTTTGTACAGGCATACCTCAGAGACACTGCAGGTTTGGTTCGGAGACAGGATTTTAAAATAACTGATAAATATGTTAAAGAATCTTCAGGAAAATATATCTGGACATAATGAGTGAAGAGATAGGAAATGTTAGGAGATACATGGAAGCTATAGAAAAGAACCAAAAAGAAATCTCAGAACTGAAAAATACAATAGATGAATCACTGAATGCAATTAACAGACTACAGAGAATATCAGAGAGGATCAGTGAAATTAAAGATGGATCACATCCAATACCTGAACGAAGGCACAGAGAGGAAAGACGGGAAAAAACACAGAGCCCTAATACCCATAAGACAGCGTTAAGTGATCTATCACATGCAGAATTAGAGTTGCAGAAGAAAAGTGACGACTGGGGCAGAAAAAAATATTTGGAAGAAATCACAACTTTTCCAAATTTCATTGAAGTCAGAAGCCCATAGACCCTGAAACCTCAGAGGACATCAAGTAAGATAAATATAAAATGGAGCACACTTAGGCACACTGTAGACAAAGAGCCAATAACCACAGATATAGAGAAAACCTGAAAAGCAGCCTGAGTCAAAGACATGTTTTATTCAGAAGACCAACAATAAGAATGGCCGTCGGCTTCTCATCTGGAAAAAAAAGATGGAGGCCAGAAGACAGCTGAACAGCATTTTTTAAATGCTGAAAGAAAACTTGTCAACTAAGAAGCCTAAGTCCAGCAAAAGTATCTTTAAAAAGTGAAGCTGAAATAAAGTGATTTTCTGATAAACAAAGGCTGAAAGAATTTGTTGTCAACACACTTTAATGTCAAAGAAAGTTCTTTGGACTACAGTAAAATGATAATGAGATTGAAATTTGGATCTACGTGAATGAATACAAAATACTAGAAATGGTATATATGAGAAAATGTGACAGGTTATTTTTTTCTTTTTAAAAATCCTTTAATAGCAAACTGACTATGTAAAATATTAGCAACCTGTGGGGTATATTACAGGTAGCAGTGTGATATTTAACAATAATAGCATAAAAACATAAGGAGGTATAAAGGATTCTGCTTTAAGGCTTTTACACTGTACAGAAATGGAATAATACTAATTCAAGGTGGACTAATAAAAATGCATACTGTAAACTTAACAGCAACCA